TGACGACGCGCTCTTCTCTTCTCCGCTCTGCTCCGCTCCGCTCCGATTCTGGACGAAGGACTGGAGAGCTTTCAAGAGAAGACACACACACACACACACACACACACACACACACCGAATAAACTCGACCGCGACAGACAAATGTACAGGGTGACGTGCAAAAAAGTAACTCGAGTTTAATATCGACATGTTGCGAAGAGAATGTTTTTCAATCAATTAATATATATTTATATAGCATGCGTTTGCAATTATGATATGAATCTAATAATATCCTTTACAACATTAATAAGCTTCATTGTCTCACAGAGCGTAATCTCTCATTTTACTCCGTGCTACTAATTTCGAGAGTTTTAATTCCGCGAATCTTCAATTTTCGCTTAATTATACAATCGCGCGTCGAACATACATCTAATCAACATATTCATCGACGATATATTACGCAGTTTCGATAACGATATCAATGGTAATCGGTGTTGCTACACAATCGTGTCAATACCGTGTCATCACTTGTTACATAACGATTTCGATAATAACGAAATTCCGTAAGAACGATGGTATTTGATTCGCGAAAGACTGGTTGCTCGATGAGCCCGATTGTTTTCGATCATTGTTACAGACAGTGCGCAATCGCACCTGACTCGCGAGAGTATGTCTATAAACGGGCAATCGCCGATCGCGCGCATGTTCCAAGAAGAGCGTAACATCCCGATTAAGCTATATTCCGATCCCGTTCATCTAAAGGGGGCAAGGACAGGAAGACGCACCTGATAAGAAACATCAATTCAAAGACGCTACTGTGCATTCGCGTCGTTTAATAACGACGAGGGCGCGCGCCGATACGTTGTTTACGTTTATAATTACAAACAGTCTAGAGTAGTTTACGAAGCTGCGCCTTAAAAAATATCTTCAGGGAGAATATTCTTGACTTTTTACATTGATTCTCCTTTATGCATTAGTCATTGAATCCAAAAGTTGTATCATTCTATTCTTGCATGTATAGTCATGTATGATAAAAATGTATAAAAAAGATTATTAGCTTTAATTTACACGTTTGATATAGAAAAAAACTTTATACCCCATAAAGTACATGTATATGTATACTAATACGAATAACTCATAAATATTGTAATAAGATTTATACTTTTATATTCTAGAGAGAGGTTCTTTTTTAAAATAAATGTTTTCAAAATAAATAAATAAAGATTATATACTATGTATCGGAAATAATAATCCCGAATTGCTTGATGTAGAAACCAGCCATGTAAAATTAATAACGAAGAAACGTGCATTTTGCGCATTTTTAATTTCGCAAGTTGTGCCTGATTTCAACGATTACAAAGCTATAAAGATACATCTCAACACGTTTATCAAATAAATCGATTAAAAAATAGAATTTTGAATATTTAAAAATGTTTTGGTCATTTCGTCAACTATGGAGCCGTTATTTATTCGCCGGTGCCCTAAAACTGCTGCGATTTCTGAATCGTCTGTCCGTCGGTTGGTCGGTCGGTCGGTCTTGTCAGTCTGTATCCGTTCATCCGTCGATCCGTCCACCCACGATGCCTGCGCGCCGAGTGTGGGCAGTTTCCTGTACGTTGTGCGTGATCACGTATTCCTTTTTTCCAGCCTACACACGTCCGCGAGCGCGCGAGCGCGAACCTCTATATTGGCAAAAGCGAGGCGTTTCGAGAGAAAAAGAGAAAGAGATGGATAGATAAATAAAGATAGATAGATAGATAGATAGATAAATAGATAAATTACATGGATAGAAAGAAGAGAGAGAGAGAGTACGAATAACTCATAAATATTGTAATAAGATTTATACTTTTATATTCTAGAGAGAGGTTCTTTTTTAAAATAAATGTTTTCAAAATAAATAAATAAAGATTATATACTATGTATCGGAAATAATAATCCCGAATTGCTTGATGTAGAAACCAGCCATGTAAAATTAATAACGAAGAAACGTGCATTTTGCGCATTTTTAATTTCGCAAGTTGTGCCTGATTTCAACGATTCCAAAGCTATAAAGATACATCTCAACACGTTTATCAAATAAATCGATTAAAAAATAGAATTTTGAATATTTAAAAATGTTTTGGTCATTTCGTCAACTATGGAGCCGTTATTTATTCGCCGGTGCCCTAAAACTGCTGCGATTTCTGAATCGTCTGTCCGTCGGTTGGTCGGTCGGTCGGTCTTGTCAGTCTGTATCCGTTCATCCGTCGATCCGTCCACCCACGATGCCTGCGCGCCGAGTGTGGGCAGTTTCCTGTACGTTGTGCGTGATCACGTATTCCTTTTTTCCAGCCTACACACGTCCGCGAGCGCGCGAGCGCGAACCTCTATATTGGCAAAAGCGAGGCGTTTCGAGAGAAAAAGAGAAAGAGATGGATAGATAAATAAAGATAGATAGATAGATAGATAGATAAATAGATAAATTACATGGATAGAAAGAAGAGAGAGAGAGAGAGAGAGAGAGAGAGAAAGAAAGAAAGAGAGAGAGAGAGAGAGAGAAAAAAATATCATTGTCGCATGTGTGTTGCGTGAGTTTAACCCGTCAACCCTCTCCGCCTCTTCATTCTCGCGACTCTGGCCACACTGTGATACTTCGATTCTCCCTCCCTCTCTCCTGCTCCCCTTTCGCGCCACGAAACGTGTTCTGTATGCACGTGAGGAAATAGAGAGGAAAGGAGGGAGACAAAGCTGAGAAGGGAGAGGGAAGGGAAAGACAGGCGATCGTGCGTGCGGGTCTCTCGCATGTGCGTGCGATAAAACTGACGTCATGGGGCCACGTGATGGTATGATACGGTGGGGAGAACCCATTCATAACCTGAGCAAGGACAGGCTTAAGGCCGTTTCGGACGGTGTATTACCTCCGCGAGCTCCAAGATGACAGGAAGTTTTTACCGTGCTCTTTCTCTCTCTTTCTCTTCTATCTCTCTTTCTCTATATATGGCACCGCAAAAAAAAATATTTTTGGACGGACATGCGAGTGATGCCAGCTACGACTGGCGAAATGTATATACACACACATATATATATATACACATACGTGTGTACATATTTTACACACACAACACGTATGTATATATATATATATATATATATATATATGTACCACAAACTTTCTGGCGGGATTGTCTCTACTATTACGTTCATTGTATCGTAGTCGGAGCTTGTTGTGAATGATATCTCAGTTCCAAGAGATAACGGGACATTTTTACCATACCTCTCTCGTCGATGCTCTCATGTAAATATACAAGTCTGTCTGATTAAGGACAAACATGCATATCGCGATGTCACTGCGTATCAGTGCTACATGATTGTAGTTTTTTAGTAAATAATATACTCCGCACAAACGACGTATTTATTTATCCGTATGCAAAATATTAATGTAAATTAATAATTCGCAAACGTTTGATGCAAACCATATAATTCTGTCACATTATCATCGAAAGAAAATTTACGTTTGTACAATTACTACGCGCTAGAAATAACATGCTAATTGTATCGTGAGAAACATCAACACATATTTTTTTTTAAATATTATTTGAAACATCTGCTTTAGAAAGAGAGAAAAAGAGAGAGAGAGAGAGAGAAAATTCAAAAATTAACTCGAGGACGGCGTGCGAATTTTTTGTCGATACGTGGTATATAAGACACCCTATAGAAAGCTATGAGGCGTGCCCACGGTTGAACAGCGCGGCTGATAGCACGATGGATCACGAGTACAAGCACCGTATGCGACCAATGAGCCGTATCCTGCTAAACTGTTAAGAAGGAAGTGGTTCGTTGCTGCTGCTGTTGCTGCTGTTCTCTCTCCATCTGTCTATCTATCTAGCCACTGATCTATCTATCTGTCAGTCCCTCCGTTTCTCTGCTCTTTTACAGAGATCTACACGCGCTTGATGATACATATATA